AGAATCGACGGAATGGTCATTACAGAATGGACTCCTATATCGTTATTTTTCAGCTGTGAGGCCAGGGGCAACTGGTCCAGAATGGAAGCTGTTTATACCAAAATGCTATCGACAAGCGGTAATGAAGGAATGCCATGACGATCCATCTTCGGCACACCTAGGCATTTACAAGACTCTGCATCGGATTCAGGAGCGATACTACTGGCCGAGAATGAGATACGACGTTAAAAAATATGTGAGGAGCTGCGAAGTGTGCTTGGCGCAGAAAACTCCCACTATTGCTCGTCCAGGCTTCATGGGTAAACCTAAGCAAGCCAGTTATCCTTTTCAGATCATTTCTGCCGACTTGATGGGGCCTTTTCCCCGATCGTCAACTGGTCATGTGTACCTACTAGTCGTCGCGGATTGGTTTTCGAAATTTGTTATCCTAGAGCCACTACGACAAGCGACAGCAAAGAGCATCGCTAAATTTGTGGAAGAACGAGTCATCTTATATTTTGGTAGTCCCCAGGTAATACTCTGTGACAACGGAACCCAGTTTAAGAGCTCTCTATTTCAAAATCTGGCTGCGCGTTATGGGTCTAAATTATGGTACAACTGTAAATATCATGCCCAAGTTAATCCTGTGGAACGTGTCAAGCGAGTGGTTGGCGCCGCTATTCGCTCATATCTACAGAAACAAAACCACAAGAAATGGACCCAAAATATCTCGCAAATTGGCTTCGTTTTACGATCAGTTCATGAAGTTACAGGATATACACCAAATTTTTTAAACTTTGGACGGCACGTACCACTTGACGGCGAAATTTATGGAAAGCTTTCAAAATTAAATGAATTTAATTTAAATCCATATCCGCGAGATCAATACGCAAATAACATCGATAAACTCTCAGACCTGCAGAAAGAAATTCAGCAAAAGCTCGACGAAGCGTATCGCAAGAATTGTCACTCTTATAACACCCGCAAAAGAGAGACTGATTGTTACCAAAAAGGAGAAATATTATGGAAGAAGAACTATGTTTTATCGGATGCTTCCAAACAATTGATGGCGAAACTAGAACCAAAATATGTCAAGTGTAAGGTTGCTGAGGTCATATCCCCACTGGTGTATAAACTAGAAGACATGAATGGTAAAGATCTAGGAAAATGGCATGTAAAAGATCGCAAGCGAACTTACAATCAACCGGATAATCCCGTGTGATGAATAAAGTGGATAAACGTTTTAGTTATGAGCGATTTCGTGAATGGCAGAGTGAATACGTGAATGTTCGTGATTATTACCCGGATTTGAATTTAGTCTCGAGACTCCCAGATTTATAGACTCCCAGATTTATAGACTTATAGATTCCCAGACTTATAGACTTCCAAACTTTGAAGAGTTAATGGATGTAACTTACAGCTCCCGGATTTGTCTTAAACACAAAATTGGTCAATTTTTTTGGTATTTCTAGAGTACCATAATTCTCGGATGGAACTTTTCTCGATTTAGTACTTCTATTTTGTATTATAAGTAGTAGGTGGGTAGTGATTAAGTCAATTTCTTCTAGTGATGGGAAATTAAAAAAAATAAATAAAAATGAAACATTTATATAGGAAAGAGGGGTGTGTAACGGTCCCGTTACTATAATTTAAACTTCCTTTAGTAAGGACGAGTAGGTGATTTGAGCGGTTCAAATTGTGCGCCTCGGCATGGGAGTTTTTATAGCGATACAACGTCAGGCGAACAAAAAAGGGCTTTGCTGATAAGATTTTGGACAAAATGGGGGTTGTCAGAAACGTAAAATAAAAATCAAGATTTCAAGCCATTTTAAACGATTAAAGAAGATTTTAATAAACCTATGAGACCTAGGTGAGTCAAAATTTCATATTTAAATAAAAGTCACATGAGATCTCTTAAAATAAACATGTCAATAAAACACCACTTCCTAGGTTTTAACTATCGAGTTTGGAACATGAAATATTCGTCAATTTTGATCACTGGAGTCATTCGCTACTTGGATTGAGCTTGTAATTGGTATCATCTTCAACTCCGTGGAAAGTTGTGCTGGGAGTAACGATTCGGTACTACCTACAACCAGAGACCTGTCATTAAAACATTAGTAGTACTGGAGACTTATCTGAATGGAACCGATTGATGACACCCAAGGAACCATCACCACGGGGGTAGCACCTTATCTGTGGAAGTAGCGACCACCAGCGCAAGTAGCAGGGTTCCAGTAACTCAATATCTTAAAACTGGAGGCCACAACCCCATGGTGAACACCTTCTAGGTTGCTTGTTGCCCGCACAATATCATAAGGAAAATTCCTTGTAAACATAGGTATTTTTAGATTAGAAACAGGTCAGATCCGAGAGAGTTAATAATTTAGATCTTGTTATTAACGTATTGTAAAGGGGCTAACCCTATGTCTAGTGATATTGTGAGTGGTTCTTTGGGGGTCTAGCGGCCAGTCTCACCCATTTGGGGAGAGTTCTTGTTGTCTTGCGGCAGCTCCAGGTGGTACTTGTCATTACGCTCAAGTACACGAATGCTCACTTTCCGCGAAGGGAAAAAAAAGAAAGTTCCAAGCTCCATAATAGATATTTCTTTGAATTTCAAGGTTATAGCAATAAAAGTATATCAGTCAAAGATCAGTATAATAAATCTTATCAGTATAGCTTCTGGTGGTCGAGTAATTGTAATTGTGAGCTCATTTTGTCTAGATATTAATTTTAACTTGTTTAAGTTTATAGTGTTGTAAAGACTAGTGTGCTGAGCCACAAATAATTTCAGAGTGTATGAAAAGAAAAGAAAAGCTCAAAACACCTATTCAATATTTGTTTTTGTCGTTTTTCAAATAGGAAAAAACGACTGGCGCCCTTTATGTATTGTGTGTTGCATATGCATATTATTATGTTAATATAGTTTTTGGGAAATTATTTCACTCATTGCCTACACAAACCCACGCCCTGCAAACAAACAAATAACATATAAGGCCGGAAAAGTCACAATCGATTGTTATGTGTGAAGGAAACTGGAATAGTTGTTGAACTACCCTCTCAAAGAGGTGGCCTCGTGTCTAAAATCGAACTGCGCAAAGAAAATCGATGATTTTTCCTATTTCCCCACACTCAACTAAATCGTGAAGCTATGTTATTGCTGAGCGACAATCGTTTACACCTCTCACCTACAATTTTATACCTGTCTCTATCTTAAAGGGTTGACCCTATTCTTGAACAACAGAAAAAGGATATTCTATTTTACATTCAAAATAATGCTATTATTAAGTTTGAAACATTCTAAACCTCATACATACATGACATTAAAATAAAATGAAAAAAAATAAAAAAAAAAATAAAACATATAGCTAACTAAATTCTGCCCCCTTGATTGTCGCCTCACGCAAAGGGTTGAACTAAATTATTGAATTTAGATCTTCTAAACAAATCAGAAACAAATTATTCCTTTCAACAGATTTTTGTTTTTGTGTTTATTTAATTGTTTCCTAAATATTTCAATTACTTCATGTTTAGCTAATTGACTGAACCTGCACTGTAATCTGATACTTTTTCACATTTCGCGGAATGCAGGGCCACCTGCACCCTTATTGGGATCAAGTGGATGCTGACGCTGGGAACTTGTCGACTTTGGCTACGCTCTATTATCGCGCATATGTGCATTACAGTGGACCATGCCAAAGTGGCCAATTGTTGCAAACTCACTAATAAATGGCTAGAAAATTGTAACAGGTGATTTCAAGTTAACAAAATTTATTTAATCCTAACTGGATGTGCTTATTAATAATATGCAGTGTACTGAAACTTGAAGATTTAAAATTGAACCTTCATTTAATTTTACAAGACAAGAGAAAGTATCACAAGATCAATTTATTCATATTGTTATTACACTTTGACTTGCAATTAAGGTTATTTAACTAAATTTGACGATTGCAATTACTTTAACAGCCGCTGAAAAGGAATATTTTAAACACTGCACTGGAACCAATATGCATCTGGACGATTGGAAACACCCCCAATCTTTAACACGACGCAATACTTTATTAAGTGGATTTTGTAGCTTTTACGATTTCTAGAAATCCATGAAATTTTTTGTGGCGCCATGTGCAACCGAAATTCTGAGAAAGAAATAATCTGGTCCTACGCTAACATGCATACAAAATTTCTTAAAGTGACCCATGACAGATATTTTCCAGATCTACGAAACACATGTGTGTTTGCTTAAAATTTCAAGTCGTAACGTTCAACATATGTATTTTTCTCAAAATGAGATCAAATAATCGCACTATTAAATGATTGGCCGCTCGGTATAATTAAAATATACTGGCACTTACCATAGTATACCTGAAGTATTACTAAGCGCGAAACTAAAGAATAGACGGTTGCCCCAAAATAGGGATTATTATAACGGATAGTAAAACTTCATAATTTGTACTTGACTTCTAGACACATTTTTTATTAAGTTTCTAGGATTTTAAATTATTTTAATAATATTTTTAAGAATTTAGAGTTTACAAAGGTTTTCGTCATTAACCTCGGATTTATAAATTACAAATGACTTAAATTCTATAGTCTCGCTTGTTATTTCAAATTTGTTATTTACGTAATGTACAGTCAAATGTATGACTGTAGAAAAAAATTAAACGATCACATTTATCATGGCCTAATTTTTAGTGTGTTGAAATAAATGAAGAATGATTTGAAGGCAAGTGATGTAATTTAATTACATATCTAAATAATGTAGATATTAAGTTCTGTTCAATGCAGAAAACATGACTTTTTATTGTAATGTATTAATTTTCAAAGATAGTTTATTTCCGGCCACGATTGGGAATTATAGATGCGAGTTATTTTTTCAGGCCTAGCGTTAACTTAGCCCTTCTTTTCAGGAAGGATTTATTTTGTCTCTCGACTTCTCCGTTTGCTTGAGGCCATTTCGGGGTGTTTATTCTCAGCGTGATGCCGTTTTGCAAACAGTAGTCCCGGAATTCAGTGCTTGTAAATTAAGTTCCATTATCTGCAGTGATGTGCTCTGGGAGGCCAAATCTTGAAAATATTTCCTCCAATTCTTCAATGGTCTTCTGTGCAGTGATGGATTTCATGACTCTTGCTTCGTAGAAGCAGCTATAATAGTCTATAACGAGAAAAATGTATGTATCTCCTTGAAGTGGTCCTAGGAAGTCCATTGCAACCATTTTCCAGGGACCTCCCGGGAGTCTCGTCATGGTCAGTGGTTCTGGTGGTTGCGCAGCGCTCACTAGCTGGCATCCGTGGCAATGCTTGCAGAATGTCTCGACGTCTTTTTCCATGCCAAACCACCAAACCTTAGTTCTCAGTCGTTGCTTCATTTTGACGATTCCCTGATGACCTTCATGGCTAATTTTAAGACTCTTTGTCGTAATGAAGGCGAAATTAATATTCTTGTGCCTCTAAGAACAACGTCGTCAATGATACATAGTTCTGTTTTGATCAGTTCGTTTTTCCGCAGTCTCACTGGATATTTATCTTCTCGGATCGCATCTCTAAGGTCTTGCATCTCCGTGGATTTTTCTCGGATCTCTTCAATGCTCATTGAATATGGAACTGCTTCCTTCGCGACCCATCGGACGTGATGTTCATCATTGGCGATGTTTGATTTTGTATTCGTGTCAGTTAGCCTGGACAATGGGTCTGCAATATTTTTCTTGCCTGGTTGGTATATAACGTTGAAGTTATATCCCATAAGCCTCATGACCCATCTTTCTACTCGTGCACAAGGCTTTGATCTGGGTGAGAATATGAATTCTAACGGCTTGTGGTCTGTAATTATATCAAATTCAGCGCCGTATACGTACAGGTGAAATCTTTCGCATGCCCATACTAGACTTAGGGCCTCTTTTTCAGTTTGGCTGTACTTCTTATCTGCGTCTGTTAAGGCTCGACTTGCGTATTCAATGATCTTCTCCCCCCCATTCTGCATTTGGACGAGAACTGCACCTATGCCATACGGACTTGCATCAGCTATGATCGTTGATTTACAACGTGGATCGAAGAATCCCAGGGTTTTACTCTTCATTAGTTCCCCTTTCAGTCGTTCAAACGCCTTGCTTTGTTCTTTTCTCCATTGAAACTGTACGTCTTTTCTAATCAGTTTTCTGAGCGGAGCAGTTAACGCTGAGTATTCGGGTATAAACTTACTGCAAAATCCTACCAAGCCTAAGAAACTGCTTAGCTCGGTTTTTGTTTTCGGAGCCCGAAAGTTTTTGATTGTTTCGATTCGGCTTCTTAGCGGTCGTACACCTTCTTCGCTGATCTCATGGCCCATAAATTCTAATTTCTTCTGTGCTATCTTGCACTTGCCCTTGTTCACTGTTATGCCAGAATTCTCAAGTCGTTTGAGTAGTTCGAGTAAATTTCTATTATGTTCTTCTAGGGTTTTCCCATGGACCAAGAAGTCATCTACATATATTTCTACACCGTGTAGGTCTTCAGCAAGTTGTTCCATGATGCGTTGGAATATTTCGGGTGCACAGTTTATGCCAAAAAATAGTCTCTTGAATCGGTAAAGCCCACCGCATGTAGCGAATGTTGTGATTTCTCTGTTACTCTCTTCTAATTCGATTTGATGAAAAGCTGATTTTAAGTCAATTTCTGAAAACCATTTGCTTCCATTTAAGCTCAGAATCAAATCGTTGATCATTGGAATTGGATGACGTTCTCGGATTATGGCTTCGTTGCTGCCCTCATGTCGACACACATGCGTAGTTCTTCGTTTTTCTTTGTTGTACAAATTACTGGGGATACCCATCGCGCCGGTTCGTTGACCTTCTCAATTATATCGCTTTCTATTAGCTCCCTCAGTTTTTCCTTTACCAAAGGTTGTAGCTGGAACGGTATTCTTCTGCCAGTCTGTGCCAACGGTGGAATTTTTTCATCAATAGCGATTTTCAAGGAGTAATCATGGAGTTTCCCGATTCCTTCGCGCATCGCGTTAGGAAATTTTTTGCTTAGCGATTCGATGGAAGGGACCTCTATGCTGCAGACGTTTCGTAGCGGGAGTCCTGTCCACAGGATGCCCAACGTCCTAGCAGTGCTCTTTCCGATTATTGGTGTAGCCTTGACATCAACGACGTAGAACTTGGTCGAGTCTAGCTTCCTTCCATTTTCTAGTTCTACGGTGGTGTGGAACGTACCCAACGTCTTCAATTGTGCTTGTCCCCCATACGAGTATAATTTCTTCGTGTCTGGCTCCCCACAGGTGCCTTTTATCTTACTTGGTTTCAGGTTTTCTCAACTCTTCTTGTCCATTACGTTGCATGTTGCACCTGAATCGATAAGAAATCTTGCCTTGACCCCTCCCACTAAAACTTGAATACTGTCTAGGTTGCTGTCTTCGTCTTGTACTTGGAAAGCATACTCGCTGTCTTACGGATGTCCAGTTTCGATGTTTCGGATTCTTTTCCTTTGTTCAGTCGCTTTCTTCTTTGTTCTGCAGCATTTCCCCAGATGTCCTATCAGCCCACATTTGTTGCATGTTTTATTTCTTGCAGGACACTTCTCATCACTCGCTCTGTGACCTTCCCCGTCGCATCTGTAACATTTGAACGCTTTGGGTGGACGCTTCGTGTTCACTTTCTTTTCTACTCTTCGGATGTCTTGACTTCCGGCTTCCATTAGCCCGGCTTGCTTCTCGGAGGCTTCGAAGATTCTTCCCAGCTCCTTGGCTCGATCTACGGTTAAACTGTCGCCTTCCTTTAGCAGTTGCCTTCGCAGGTCATTTGAAGTGCATTTCTCGATTAGTTGGTCGATGATCATGTCGTCTGCGTTGTTTCTGAAGTTGCAGTTGGCACTCTGCGCCTTTAAGCGGGTGACGAACTGGATAATGGTTTCGCCTTCTTTCTGGCTTAATGACCGAAACACGTGCCTTTCGTACGTATAGTTCTTTTTTGGCTGAAAAATTGGGGTTAGTGCTGTTTTGCAGATATCATACAGTGGTGCTTGCGGCTCATCCTCCCTTTTCGATTCTGGAAGCGTATACCAGACCTCTTGTACACCTTCGCCGGAATGGTGGAGTAATAACGCCCGTTTTCTTTTTTCATTTTGAATCGCACTAGCCTCCAGAAATATCTCGAACGATCGTAGCCATCGGTCCCATTTCTGTGCTGTTTCCGATTCCTCCCCCGTCGGGTCGAACGCTTTGATACCCGTCTTGTCGGCATTCATCTTCTTTACCCTTTTCCTCGTCGCCAATGTTGTGTTAATAAATGCGAATTGAATCGGAGAATAACGTGTATTTATTAACGTACTATTACAAGTGTGTTTCTACATTTTGCACCTGTCACTTGTCAATGCTAATCTGCATTCCCGGCCGTACATGTCGATACATTAGGACACTACAGACACAGAACTCTATAGGCATCTGTCTATAACCATTAATTAAATACATATAGATAGACCCATGCTATTGTTTGGAGCGAACAGGCCAACGGCCGGCGAACAAGAGATGGCGCACCAACAGTCGGCCGTCAAACGCCGGCGAAAAGCTTGGACACCAATCGCGCGCGTAGATAACCCAAATCACAGCAACAATACATTTAATAAAGCTACCACTCGACAGAGGGCGACGAAAAAAATGTGTAAAAATCTCATAGTAAACATTTATATAATTTACAACGTTGCCAGATGAGCCTAACACAACTTTGCCGTTATTTCTAGTCGATTAGATTTTATTTCGTTTAAAAGTTTCTGGTGAATAAATTGAATTATTATAATGAATAAACAATACAAACAAATTATTACTTGTTATGTTAAATACTTGTTAGTGTTGATGAAAACATAAATGGTAATTAAAGTTATTCTAAATACGGTCCGGTCCGGTAGCTCAAATTTTACAGTACGAGTGGTATGTTTCAGGACGAGTAGGTAGCCGAGTCTTTAATTTCAAAACGAGTACTGCGAAAAGAGTTACCGGACGTATGTTGTTATGTATTTTATTTCATACTGTCAACATACTTTTTTATTCGATAAAATTATTATTATTTTGAGAAAAAATCCAAATCGAGTCACTTTTTCTGACATCGTTAGCAACCGCTCTTTGGTAAATGTTTTAATTTGTTTATTCGTGCAAATCAGCATCATATGTTTAAACACATAGTACTTATAACACTTTACAGGACTTATTGTTTTGTATAATTCGACTCGATGGACGAATGTTTTGTGCAATCCGTCTCGAAGGACCAATGTTTGTTCAACTCGGCTCGTCCTACCAGTATTTTTTGTAATCTGGTTGATACGACAATGTGATACCGAATTGTACTTTGATATTGCTCCAAGGACCTTTGTTTTCTTGCGTGCGAGATAATAGACAGCGTTCGGTTTCGATGTTTAATACAGGACGGTTACAGAAGTACTAAATTTACATTTGTATTTACAATAACAGGTAAAGCAAAAGAGACCCAAAAGGGTCAGTGGCCGCTTCCGGAAATGGAACACTTGTCCTCTTTGGCTCAATTTTATCGGACTTGTCCGTTTTTTTGATTTTACCGGAATCGTTCGATCCAGTAAAACGTCAAGCTTGACATAGTATGAAGTAAAATAAATAAATTTTATGATGTAAATACAATTTTTCCAATTTCCACTAATAAAATCCTCATTTTGTATGTTAAATCTCGCTATTAAAACAATAGTTTAATCGAAAGGATGAATAAAATGTTTATAGTGCAACACTTTATTCACACTGTTATTGACAACACTAATAAAGTAAAAAAACTAAAAATTCGCACTACCACTGAAATTTTCGTTGCTATGGATGTGTGGATATTTAACTAAAATTTGCAATGTTTGATAGTCCACCTCCTGTAAAACAATCCTAATGAAAGTCTAGGAGCATCGTTTGAATTTGACCGTGACGAAAGTACAGGCAGTTTAGGCAATTTACCTTCTTCAAATGTTCATGATATTGGTAATATAATTAATATTTTTATGTATATGGATTATCTCAACAATACATTTTTTGAACAATTTTGCGAAATTGGAAAAAATCTTGTATGATACACGTGAATAAACGAATTTTATCCACTCGAAAACATTATCACACTCAGCTTCGCCTCGTGTGCTAAACTGTTTTTTCGGTGGATAAAATTCACTTTTATTCACTTATGCCATAAATAGCTATAAGTATATCGATAATTCGCTACTGAAAATTTATTGAAATATAATTTGTGTTAAAAAAAATTTTTTGTGATTTTATGGTTTATTAACATAATTTACTTATTTGAAATTAAATATTTTTAATACATAGCACAAGTTCTTGATATTCTTTATTTTTATTCCAAGTAATAATTGTGTTTCCTTTAGTTTTAATCAAGAAAATTTTTCGGTTATTATCTAACATACTTTTGTACATTAAGAAACTCCATTCGACGTCGCAGGACGTTACAGGACAATATTTAAATAAATAAAGAAGTCGTTTTATGTGTTTTAAAATTCACTCTGATTTCCGGACTTTAGACTTTTTGGTGTTTCACTTCGGCAAAAGAACTAGTCGTATCTCAAAGAAAACAAACAGTGGAATATAGCGTATTGTACCTATATTTCATAGTAAAAATGACAAAATTTTTTTATGAAGAGACAGACTGTTCTAGGAAACTTTACTAAATCTTTTCATTTACGAGCTATTGAAAGACCGCCGGTCTCACTGATACTTCTTACTTGGCTCCTACGAATGAAGCGAAAAATGCACAGATTGAAAATATAGTAAATGGGGTAGTATGTATGCGTGATATGTCGTTAGACATTAAGTATTTTGCAAATAAAATTTATTTCATTGAAAACAGAAACATTAAAAAACATATCTGTACAAGTTTGGAATCGATATGGCCAGTTGTTTAGAATATGCAAATATGCTTTTGTTCGTATTTACAATTATTACGAAACAGGTTATCAAATAATCTATTTTCACATGGCGAGACTTTCAAGCGGCCGAAGAGTTAAAAACCATAAATTTTCATTGAAGAAACAAACTCTTCCAAGAAAATTTACCAAATCTTTTAGTTTACGCACTATTGGACGAGCACTCCTTAAAACGGTCAGTATACCTAATCGCATTATTCCATTGATACCTACCTACCGAAAACGTTGCCAGATGAGCCTAACTGCCCATTCACAATGGACATAAGACATAGGAACGAGCGCATAACATAATTTACGTTTTTGGTTTGTGTCTGGCTTATGCTTATCTACGTTCACAGTGGACAGATTGAACTCTGTAAGAATTGTTAAACTGCGCAAACGCAGAACGGAATAACTCCCGGCTAAACATAGAAACGGCTAACCTCAAAATGAGTCAATCAAAATATCTAACCTACAATTTCGTATGATATTCGAACTTGACAACTCGCAGTACAGAACAGACTCGCAGTGTGAAGCTTTGATTATAATATATATAATACAATCAAAGGTGTGAAGTGCCAAGTGCCAACTGTCATAGGGAATTCAATAGCAGCATTCAAAAGTCCCTAGATTTTAACATAATTTTGACATAATTCGTGCACAAAGTTGAACTTATTTCAACTTTGTGTACGCACACAAGGATTACATAAAACGTTCATAAGCATAAGAATTACGTTCGTCCACTGTGAACAGGGGTACACGTTTTCCATCGTTTCAACTTTATGTATTTATGTAAGCTTTATGTACTTGTTATGCCTTATGTCCATTGTGAAGGGGCAGTAACACAAATTTGCGGATATTTCTCGTCAACCAGATATTATTTCATTTAGAATTCTGGTAAATAAATGGGATTATTATAATGAACACATAAAACAAATAAATTGTGATTATTATTTGTTGTTTTAATCCATTAGACGCTTATAGGCTTATAAGCATACTTTTCTTAAAAAATCGGTAATAAATTCAGTGAAACATCTTTGTGCCTTAATTCCTATTGGTAAACTGGGATTTTGAATACAGGTCGCAGGAACATTTTGTATGGTTTTATGGTTTATTTACATAATTTTCTTATTTACAATGAATGTTTTTAATATATAATACAAGTTCTTGATAGTATTTATTTTAATTACATTTAATAAACCATAAAACCACAAAAATCTTTTTTTAACACAAATTATATTTCAATAAATTTTCAGTAGCGAATTATCGATATACTTAATTGTATTTACATCATAATAGATATTTATTTTATTAGGAGTTTAAGTGATACTTTATGTGTCGAGTATGGACGATTAATCGCCGAGCGATAACGAGGCGAATTAAGTCCATACGAGTCACATGAAGTCACTTAAACTCCGAATGAAATACAATATTTTATTTTCAAACGATTAATCTTCTTTTGAAATGATTATTTCCTATCTTCTTGTTTCATTAAGGAATTTTGCCTTGATTTCACTTACCATGGTTACTATGGTTGACAACCACTATGATTTTCACATATTTATACTCCGGCGGAGTATAAATGTTTTATTTATACGCCGGCGGAGTATAAGTAGTACTTATACGCCGCTCAAACACGGTGTCATAGAAATGACACTTAAACCCCGGTAAGAGCGTCATATAAGTGTCAGTTATATGACGTTTGAAAATAAAATTTATTTATTTTACTTCATACTATGTCAAGTTTGACGTTTTACTGGATTCGAACGAGTCCGGTAAAATCAAAAAAACGGACAAGTCCGATAAAATTGAGCCAAAAAGGACAAGTGTTCCATTTCCGGAAGCGGCCACTGACCCATTTGGGTCTCTTTTGCTTTACCTGTTATTGTAAATACAAATGTAAATTTAGTACTTCTGTAACCGTCCTGTATTAAACATCGAAACCGAACGCTGTCTATTATCTCGCACGCAAGAAAACAAAGGTCCTTGGAGCAATATCAAAGTACAATTCGGTATCACATTGTCGTATCAACCAGATTACAAAAAATACTGGTAGGACGAGCCGAGTTGAACAAACATTGGTCCTTCGAGACGGATTGCACAAAACATTCGTCCATCGAGTCGGATTATACAAAACAATAAGTCCTGTAAAGTGTTATAAGTACTATGTGTTTAAACATATGATGCTGATTTGCACGAATAAACAAATTAAAACATTTACCAAAGAGCGGTTGCTAACGATGTCAGAAAAAGTGACTCGATTTGGATTTTTTCTCAAAATAATAATAATTTTATCGAATAAAAAAGTATGTTGACAGTATGAAATAAAATAC